ATATATATATATATATATATATATCATTACCTATTTAGCACATGGATGCAGCCTTCATACAATATCAATGAAGTTTCGCATTCGTTAAATTCGTGTGGCCAAACTTTTTAACCCAAAAAATTTGTTCCGCATTTCTATATTGTAAAGGTCATTTGTACGTACGTATTACCCAAATACGTTAATTCAAATATTGTCAACAATTTAAAAAATAAAGAAATTGAATTTGAGAAATGGCAAGAAATATTTTTGAAGTCATGGAAAATGTATTATTGTTGCATGAAGTAATCAATAGATCATCCTATCGGAGATGCAACAAGAAATTGTTCAAAACCAGAGACAAATATGTTTTTTTCCGCGGGTGTAAACATTTTAAAAGCGGAGGATGATGGTCTATTGGAAAGATCTATTCGAATGTCGAAAGAAAGTTTTAGAGGTTTTCGCTGGAAAAAAGTTCGAAATACAGAAAGCCCATAGAACCTGAAAATCGGCTTTATATTATACTATAGTAAGTGAAAACATAAAAATAATATATATATATACAGTGGTGGTCACAGAATTAAAACATTTACTGTGGTAAACATTTTTTGAACAGCCCTCGATTCGTTTGAAGTATTTTTGAAAATTTCTAAATTCAGAACACTTCGATATACTGCACTTAAGAGATTTAGTGTGAAAATAGAAAATTATTGCATGCAATTTTTCCATAAATAACGGTTTTTATGAAAATACATCGACTTTGAAGTGGCCATATAATTAAAACATTGTGTGATTTTTTACTTTACTGCATTTTTATGAAAATATTTTTAAAAAAGCTCTTTAATTTAGTTCAATTATGTATACTAAGCACCGATAAAATCATTTAAAGATGACCATTTCTGAAAAAAAATCTGTAAAATCTATCAAAATAATTTCAATTTTCATTAATAATTTCATAATTCATGTTCAATGGATGATAGTCCAACTATGTTTTCCTAAATGCACTGCGAGAGACTAAAACAATTTTAATTAACATTCTAATTGTTATGTTTTTTATTGTTTACTAATTGTAATTCCCGACGATCTTGCAGGACTTGGTGTGGAGGGAACAGAAGAAATTGTCAAATATTCTCCACTTCGAACATGTAGAAAAATTATAAAAAATCGGTTACTACGGACACTGCAATATCAAAACAAACAAATTTGAAAAACCGATAGGAGTTTGGATGGTTACTTTGCGGATTAATTCATCTTTGATCTTAATTTATAAATAAGGCATTTCAACATAATGATGTTCGTCTTACCTGTACTGCATAATTCTATTGATATTGTTTCCTAAGTTCTTTCTTTAAATTTGAGATCCTTATAAAATTTCTCCTGTTTTTTCCACAGATGTGGTTGATGGCGCATACATTCTACTAAATTCTCGCTATCCATCTTCAAAAAAAAAAAAAAAAAAAACAAATTAATTTCCTTAAAAACAGAATAAACTTACCTTTTCCAAATGTGTATTGTGTATAGTTGAAATTTTTGAACTTTATATTTTTGTACGCAGTGCGTATTTTGGTAACATACATTAAAATACATGTATTTAACTTTTGAGGTGAATAAAATCGTACGCATACGATACGACCCTGAAAATTTATTTCACAAACAATAAATGAAAAAGTTTAAAACATATGATTGTCACTTACACCTTATTAAATACGCCTTGGTTCATAATAAAAATCCCTTTAGCTGTGAACATATCAACCAGTTTCCATTTCGATCGTCTATTTTTCATAAAATTCGAAACCTACGTATTCGATATAAAATATGAATTATTGAAATTCCTTAAACTGAAAAAATGTTCGCTTATGAGAAGTTCGGATAACTGAAATTATTTTCAGTTAACCGAGCTCCGCTTAAGTGAAAACTTCGAATAACTGAATCATCCAGATTTTTTTATGTTTCAGTAAAGCGGAGTCGACTGTAACCATTTTGTTTTGAGTCCGCTCTTTATCAGCTTTATGTTCGATCTCCCCTATTAATGGCAAATGGATCGTGTTTAGATTCGGCCTGTTCATTTGGGGGGTGGTATACTTTCCTTGATTTTGTTGATTACTTGTCTACTTGTCACAAGTAAAATTGGGGCTATTATATCTATTATATGGAAATCATCTAGAATTTATAAAAATCATCGATTTAAAAACAGCGTAAACTTAAATTAAAGAAGGTGCACGAACCTGATAAGTGCAATAAATTTAATTTAATATTGTTACGTTCTTGGGTTTTACTTAATTTTTTGTTTTATTTCCCATTTTTTGTTTTATTTCCCATTACAGTTCGTACCAAATAAAACGCGGGTTCTTTATGATTACGATTATTACAATGATTTTATTGACACAACTTTACTTTGCACGTTACTTGACTGTTTCAATTCGCGATCTGATTCACAACTGACTAACTGCCTTGCCATTTCCGCTATTTATATGAGCCTTGCCTGTCGCTACAGAAGTTTCTAGACGATCTGGTAACACCTAGATCACGAACAATCTACCAATGCAACACACATACAAACTTACATTGAGTGAACAATAACAACAACACATACAAACTTACATTGAGTAAACAATAACAACAACACATATACAGGCGAGGGGGTAACAAAGAAAGAGGAATTAAGCGATCATCAATGATGACGTTTAACAAGAATTGTACGACAATAACAAAATAGAAAATGGAAGAGGAAATGGAAGGATGTAGAAAAATCTATACAGTAGTTGTTGTTGTGAAGTTATTCGAATAAACTGCGTAGTAGAAATTTACGTTACAATTCAAATTCTTAAATTAACGGAATTCATCTAAATTAATCTTAAATCTAAAGTTATTTTCGTAACAATATGTATATTTAACTTTTGAGGTGAATAAATAAAATAAAAAATAAATGCATTTAGGTACGACCCTAATTTTTAAATATATGAATTAAAGCTATATTTACGGATGCAAAAACGTTTGTAATACTATTAAAGAGATTGGACGATATATATTTTGGCAGATACCAAGAGGTGGACCAATTCTGAACAAGTTTTTCGAGGTTTTTCAATCGTTTCTCAGATTTAACTAATAACGTAATAATGATTGTTCTTAATGTTTTCAGATCCATCTATACGTTGCTACAAAATAGAGACGTTAACATATGCAAAAACTCGAAAACTGAGCAGTTGGATCCTTATTGGTATACATACATTTTGGAGAAAGCCCTTTTGCGACGACGCTAACTTTTGAAGATTATGACGTTTGCATTATAAATGTGTAGGTCACCGCTGAAGCATTCTATATTCATACAAATTAGTGTTTCGTGTCAATATAACGGTACTGTTCAAGTCGTATTTTTGGCACTTTTAGTAAACGGAAGTCACTGTAATTAGCATTTGGAATAATAAATCTTTTTTTTGATGTATCTGATGTTTAAATTTTTCCTAATCCTTGGTCTAACCCCATCTTTAAGTTATATCTCGACTAGTCAAGTCGATCTACCTATATGTGCCCTCGGTTTGTACATTATAATTTGCGATCAAAATGTTATGTATCAATATCAAAATATTTTGTCTGTAGATTCGGTTCTGGTCAAAGCAACACCATAATGATAATGATAGGTTCGTTCGTTTACTCAATAATTTGTACGAATTTGTACAAATTATTACAAAATGTTGTTCGTTTACCCAAAAGTCCAGTAAAAGAGAGTGAATTGAGAGAGCAGATTTGACAGTTGTGTTACTGAGTATTTGCAAATTCTTACAAGGAAAATTTATTCAGTAAGAATTTTCTTGTACCATCAGCTGATATTTAATCAGCTGTTTTGTTATGTTTTGTAAACAAACAAAAAATTTTTCTCAAGAAAATTGATTGTTTTGTGAATTTTATTTTGATTTTGTATCATTGAATACCAAAATGGATGAAGAAAACGCAAGTATTTAAAAATAAGGTAATACAAGAGTAATTGGCGAACGATTTCTTAGGTTCCAAATCCAAACAAAAAAGTGTGCATCCCTAACATGTCTGTAAACATCAATCCAAAGTTATATATATTGGAAATCTAAAGTTATATTCGTAACAATATTTTAATGTTAATATTTAAATAATATATAGATTAATTTAATTTAAAAATATATAGATTGATTTTATGTAATGTAATCATGTTCCCCTACTGAACAAGTGGCAAAATTTTCCAATTGCACACTTAGTTTATTACTTATAATACTATTTAAATAAATCCTTTTAGTTAAATCCAGTACGATGTAAACGAGAACGTAAATTCTCTTATTTTATAGTCCATAGAACAATGTGTTATCATGTTATAGTGAATAGCAAAACGTAGCGTCATTCAATGAACTAGTTCGTTCCGGAACTACAAACAGCTGATCAACTGTTCAAATTGTGATCAGCTGTTGGTTGGTCCTGATTTGATTTCTCGTTTGCTTTGACCTCAGGTTTACAGGGTTGTAATTAGCAAACTCTGAATGTGAGCTGCCCTCATTCGTAAACAATCCAACTCCTTTTTAGTCTCCATCCCACCTCATTCGTAACTTTACGTCTTATTTTTTGACTACTTCTTTACCTGGCATTTTGTCTTATCCCATCCCATTCGTAAAGGTGGAACGTTTTTCAATATTTCTTTCTTTTCTGCAGAGACTTTTTGGACTGAACACAAAGGACGCAGTTTTCCACCAGAGTGACTCTCAATGACTCGATGTGCAACGTTAACAGTTATTGTTTTGTTTGTAAAATAAAATTGTTGTGAGTTATTAATAAAATACAATATATAAAATTTATGGATCTGAATCAGGTTCATTGCGATTTTGAAAATATTGATTCACAAAAGAACGACGAAGATTTCAAATTCTATTTATCTACTCAAACACAGTAACATATTCTTATCTGTTCTGTTTTTTAGCTGCACTTGCATTTCGTTACATGAAATGTAATCGAGTCACTCATTGTCGTTGTCGTCGGAATACACTGAAACCCACCCATAATCCAGAATGTCTAGCAACAGCAACTACGAACGAGATAAGATTTTCAAGTCATGGTCCGGAATTAGTGAGCTGGCTCTCATTAAGGAGGTAGCCACAAAAGGTGAACATATAGACTTGTGCATTTCATATTGGGCCAGGAAAAGAAAAATGCCCATCAACGATTACGAGTTGTTTTTCCATGACATCGTTCAGACTTATGTGGCACGCCTTCTAAATGAACGACTGGTGTGCAAAGCAGAAATAGTCCTTCGAAACGTGCATCGGGACGTGAAGTGTTTCTATTACCAATTTGCATGTGAATGCAATGATTCGGAATTGCGAGAAATGATTTTGGACCATTTGCGAAAAAAGAACCCCGACAACTTTGAGAGCGATATGCAGGACTTGCAATTTCATTGGAGCCTACTGGAAAAACTTAAGAAGTCCGATGTAATTATGACCGATGTAAAGAAACACATGAAGCGTATAAATTTGGAATCCCTAATGGCATTAGACAGTGCGACAAAGCAACATATTATGATATCGCTGTACTTTGAAACACGCAACGAAAATTTGTTGCAGTACATCAACAAGTTTGTCCTCTGGAATTTCTTGATAGAAACAGGTCAAACAGAGGAGATAATATCATGGTGCAAGTTGCAGATACAGCCACAAGAAACGATTTCGTTAAACTCAAATCTTTCCGTCTTGGAAGAGAAATATACACAATGGTCCATTGAGGCAGAAATGTACGAATATGCAGTTCGATCCCTTGCCAATAAAAAGGATGAAGTTCTTCGTAACTTATTTGCATCGGCGGGATATTTTTTTCCTGATGAGAGAAGCCATGTGGAAACTGTATTGCAACGTATATGTATCAGCCACAGCATTCACAAAAATCGTGATTGCATCAGATCATTGCCAATTGGTCAATATATCTATGAGCGCGGGTTCTACCACCTTCTATTGAATGAATTTGTTACAGTGCGACAACTTGAAGAAATGTTTGAAAGTATAAGCGATAATAGGGATATCCTTAGTCTTATAATTACATTAAAAACAAATAAGCTCGAAAATCTCGAGGGATTTAAAAAGGTTAGTATGACTTTAATTATAAACTTTATGACTTTAATGTAAAATCATTTTTTGAAAAACCAAATTATTGGAACTTCCACTGAAATCTACATAAAAATTCCAAATTGATGTCTACATTTTATCCTGTAAACTGTGTTTTACTACATCAAAAATAAAAATATGAAATTATATATTGGTATACATATATTGTGTGTACCCTACACAACTATACAATACACCCCGTTCCTTTTCTATTTATAATAATTTATACTCAAAGTACAGGTAGCAATTATCGATAGGTCGTTAGAAATTTGGAATGAATTTGCCTGTAACAAGGGATATTATTTTTAATGAATTTTCTTTCTTTCTTCTTAGATTGTTTCCTGTACCACAAAATATCTGGAACATATTGATTCAAACGAAAGCAATAAATGGACACTGGCGACACTTTTTGATTTTCTTACCAATCAACCGTCTTTGGCAAATTTACACTGTTCAATATCGTCGGGTATTTTGAAATCGTTGTCCTATCTCAAAGTGGTTTTGCATCATGAAAATAACAACACGGCCGTAAATCCGCAGAGTATACCCACGATCTATGACCTAATAAAAACATTCAAAGGTATCGATGTGCATCGTTTGTGCAAAGATGCTAATACGTTTAGCAAAAGTCGCAATAGCGATGTTGGGCCAGCGAATAGAAACAACCATCGTTTGAATTTTGTTCACTATATTAAACAATCGAGGAGCGCCTATGCCCTCTACCTCATGTTTGTAGAGCAACTTCAAAACTATGCACAGATAACTAAAACCCATTTGCTCACAACGTGCGAAAGTGTTTACGAGTTGGCGTTACAGACACCCATTGCCGATTCGGATGTCATTAGCCATTGCATTGCGTTTTGTGAAATGTTGGGCTTCGACACTCAGCAACTGAGATGTGTTCTGAGACTTCGTCGGTGTTTGCAGCATGCACACTATCCGAACGTATGTCCCGACAAGAAAGGCCTTGATTCAGTAATTTTTGAGGCTGAACGGTTGCTGTTGGATAAAATGTCCATTGAAGATGATACAAACATATTTCCCCTTATAGAATACAACACAATCATGGCATGCAAAGCCATCTGTCCGAATAGTACACCCAAAGAAAATGGATCTTTGATAATGCAAGGTTATGCAACTCGCAACGACTATTGGCACTTGTTGGTTTTATTACACTATTTTGAAATACCTTTGGAGCATATCAAATCGCTTGTGAAATATTTCAAGATTCCCTCAATGGCGGACCACTTGTTGAGGGCATTATCTTCATTTACCAATAACAGTTCTGAGGGCCACACCATGAAGCGACGTTCGAGTCTAACAAAACGTCAGCTGCAATCCAACAGGCATAAAAAGTCTACTGGTGATAGACGGGCGATTAACACATCTGTAGAGACAATGACATCTTCAATGGCATCCGGAAATGATCTTCCAAGTGCTGGGAGTGGTTCGATGTGCCAAAACAAAAATATATTTGCTGATTGTACCAATGGTAGCCCCGACATATTCGCTTTGATTTTGTTGAATTTGAACTCTTGCTATCCCTGTACTGAACCGGTCCTGGATGTGTCTACATTTCTACAAAACTTGCAAAGTAGCAACGCCGATGGCAAGGACTCTGCCTCAGCTATTGTCAACTTTCTAAGAACCGCAGTAGAACAACGATTGCCTATAATGGCTGTATTGGCCGCCTCTATAGTTTCTGGTGACACCAATGGGGCACACGTGGAATGGTGTTGGTTAGTGTGGTTGGCAGTCACAACAGATCAATGGAGCCATCTCCAACGGTTGGCCAATAGCGTACAGGAATTTCCCTGGAATCTCATGGACCATTTGGTTTCTCAAAATCAGATTACGGCAATTGTCCGAAGCTTTGAAATTTTTCTTCCGGATAATGGACTGATTCATCTATTTCGTTTCCTGCAACTATCGACCCAAAATGAATTCGGTGAAGTAAACGTCCATGAGCTGCGTTTGTATTGTTTGGCATGGAGTAATGAAGAAATTCGTTTGCCACTAAATTTCCGACCTCAACGTGAAAAGCTGATGAAACGCACAATACGTCTGCTATTGTTGCACACCCAGAGTAACTTTGAATCCGCTGTCGATCAGCTTAAATTTCTCAGCTGTGTATGCAAGTCGGGTCTGAGTGATATTACCGGACAACTGGACTTTTGTCTGTTAAAACAATTCTGTGATATTCTAATGACTGCCAATGGTTCGATGACTCAACGTTTTCCTTTGAATTTCATCCAGTTGCTACACGGCGAACAAGCTGATGCCAAGGAATATGAGCGAATTTTGAACTGTGTATTAGCGGCGAGAGAGTATGATATTGCCGTACGTCTAGCTTCGATACTGCACAAGCCCATCAGTGACATAATCTATAGTAAATGGGTGTCTTCCTTGGAGTCCCAGTTGGAAGTCCCGCCATCGGGTAAATTCGATAATTATATATTTCCATTTGAGCAATAC